TAGAAGCACAGTTAGGTTTAGTATAAGCTTGAGAGAGCAGGAAACAGGGACCCCTTAGTCAATGGGCACAAAATTTTGAATATGTTTGGATTTAAAAGGCCTTACACCTGCAAGGTATTATTTATCTCTCCTCTCCTCCTCTGTCTACCCTTCCCTCATCCCTCCCCTGGTAAAGCACACCCATTTTTACCCTTGACAACACCTGTCTCTTATGGTCCCACCTCTCTTGAGCTCCTTCTTCCCCTTTATCCCCATAGTTCCTTATATAACACTCCCACACCACTCCCATTTAAATACCCCCATTTTTCTCATTTCTCCCTTGGAAGAACCTGTCTCTGACTGCTCTTCTCTCTCAGGTTCCTCTTTCCCTCTACCTCCCTGGTTCCTTTCCATTTTCCTGGCTCCTGCAGTTACATCAGAATATATACTGTATACTCACAAGTAAGGATTTGGTGGTAGAATCCACAAATGAGGGAGAACATATATCGTTTGTTTTTTCTGTGGTACTTCACTTAGTACAATATTTTCTATTTCTATCCATTTACCTGGAACTATCATGGTTTGTATGTCTTGACTGCGGAATAGAACTCCATTTCACAGATATACCACATTATCATTAACTCATCAGTTAAGGGACACTTATGTTGTTTCCACTTCCTAGCTATTGTGAAAAGAACAGCAAGAAATATGGATGCACAGGTATCTCTGCAGCAGAATGAGTCCTTTAGGCATATATCAAGAAGTGGTATAACCAAGTCATATGAAAGGTTCATTTTTATTTTTTTAAAGGCTTCTCCACACTACTTTCCATAGTGGTCGTATGAGATTGCAATCAAATCATCAGTGAATAAGCATTCCCATTTTGCCACATCCTTTCCAGTATTTTCTATAATTTGTTATCTTCATCTTATTAGTTCAAAAACCTACAGAAAATAACTGCACATGTAATATCTTTACATGAGTCCTTGAGTATATTTGAAGACTATATAACAAGAAACAGTGTCAGACAGGGAAAAGCTCCCTTTGCATTGCTGGTCAGGGTACTTCAAGAGACTCTGAAAATTATACAGGCTATTGCCACAGTCCTTTCTTGCCTCCCGACCTTGAAGGTAAGACTCTATTGCTGAATACAGGACATATATTAGACAAAAGATTTGGAGCAATGGAGTTAGAAATGACCTGGAAAACACCTCCCCTAAAGGCTAACTCTCATAGTATTAGAGAGCACTATACAAATTGCTAAGGGAGAATATCAGTCAATGGTCCAAATCCATCTTTAAAGCCTAATAACCCCAATAATGACTGGCACAGCAAACTATATTGGGACAGCCGTGGCACTTTTCTCTTGGGGTTAAACAATAGCTACTTAATTGGACCTAAAGCCCAGGTAACGAGAGGGAACTCATGTGAGGTACTATAAAAATAGTCAAATAAACATGGCTGGGGAGGTCATAGATATTAGAGAAAACCATAAGGCGGTCACATCAAATGTAATTTCTTAATATGTGCTAAATACAAATCCTTATATTTTCAAAGTATGCAAGTCATCACTCATCAAGGAAGCTTCTTTTGCAACAGATGGAGGCTATTACAGTGTTCTACAACTGGTCACACAATGTGATTAAGTGTCTGTGAAATGTTCAACCCTAAGCAATATGTACAATTGAACTTTGATACCTAAGACTCATGGGACACAGTGGAATAAGGGGAAGAGAGAATACTAATACATTTCTCATCTCTCCTCAGTGAAGCTCCCTCATGCAACAGAGGGCAATGGACCCAAGGCTCAGGGCCCATTGCATAAGAGGGGGCAGAAAGATTGTAAGAGTCAGGGGATAGGCTGAATGATTATATGGTAATAGCGTCCTATAGGCTCCTGGGATCTTGCTCATATGAGCTTGTATCAATGATGGCAACATGCACAAGACCCATGCAAAATCTAGCTGTCAAAAAATCCCTCATAGAACCATGGAAAAGGGCAGCAGATCACAACCTTAGCCAAAGAACTATTGGGCAGCTGATTAATACTGGGTCTTCTTTAAGAAACTGATTCTAAACAGGCTGATTGGACCCAGGTGGATGAACTTGCACTGACTCTATAGGCCTTAACATAAATGACAGAATGCATGAAATCTAGGTGGGGGGAGCTATGTGAGGGTGTCAATGGGGAAGGGGGGTATAAAGATGATTAAGAAGCTGTGTATGAAAGACATAAAAATTCAATGAAATATATTTAAAAACATACCCAGTTCTTTTTAGTAGATTGTTTATGTGATAAATAAAAATACCCTCAAGAAAAAAGAATAAATAAAATATTTTAAAATACATAAGCTCAAAAAAAACCTTCATATATTTGTTTTTTGCTGGAAGAGTAGAACTTATGTTGACTGTTCTTATCATAACCCGTGTCAAAAAAGTATTAGATGAAAAGAACCTTTATGAGGTAGGCTTAGAACAGATTTTACTGGTTTCCTTGGTCTATATTTCCTTCCAAACACATCAAATTGTATGCATTATATAACTATAGCTTTTTGCATGTTAGTTATATTTTCATGAACTATTTTAAGGAGATGAGTAGCACGTGAAATGACTTGATAAATATCTTTTAATTATACAAAAGTACTACATGTTGTTACTTAGTCAATAATTACAGGAACTACAATATTTGTACCTTTTTCCTGCAATGTTCGCTGAGCTTTGGATGTAGTACATGTGATACAGATGTCCCATTTATGACTGAGCACTCCACAGACTCATATTCTCTCCACATTGTCTCAATGAGAGTCTACATATTCGCTACCAAACAGGACATAAAGACACTCTTCTGATGAAGAATGAAAGCTGTACTAATTTATGGTTATAGAGATATATATTAAGAAGGTACTTTGAAACCACGTACATTTAGTAAAATAATAGTAGTGGATTCTCCCCCAGGATCTCCAGGGAGCTTCCTGCTATGGGTTCTTGGATAGATTTACTGTACCTGGCATGAATTTTCTATTGTGGAGGAAGTCATAATTCTAATCACAAATCAGTTGGTGGCCTCCATAATACTCATAAAACTGTTGCACCCATGGGCATATTTTTCCTGCTGGTTGGTACTCTAACTCCTAGGGTACACAGCTGGTTAACACTGTTGATAACTATTCTCCCCAAGGCAGCCTGCATAGGAACTTTCAGCACTCTGAAATCTAGCCAGCAGATATGAAACTTCTAAGTCAGTTACAGCTTGATTTCTCCATGTCTTATGACCAACATTTGTGATGTCTTAAGTGAAAGGGTCCTGCCATCAATTTATGGTGTCCAGGAGCAGTGAAAATAGCCAGCTGTTGGGGGAAACTCTTGGACCTTTGGAATAACTTGAGGGAGGAATTGTATCCCATACCTGGAATTGGGGTTTTATCCAAAAACGAGACAGAAAGATTGTAAGAGCCAGTGGTCATGAAGGACGGGAGCAGAACAGTATGTTCTTGACATGACAAGATGACAGAAATACATACATACATTATATGTATATATATATGAGATTTAAAAATTGTATGTTTTACTGCATTTTTGCGTTTTTTGTACAATGTAGTCCTATGGTATTTAGATCCTGTCCCATATCTGCACCTCTCCCCACTGACCTCCACCCAATTTAATGTATGTACTTTCACATATATACAATACAGCCTATAGAATCTGATTTATGCCTATAGAGTATGATTTCTGTGGATCCAATCACTGGGCCCACCGAGAGTTCCATTACTGTAGTACACTGTCTCTCCCTCTCCTAGCAGCCAGCAATTGCCAAAAGCTCCTTAGATTGGGTTGTGATTTATTAGCTACTTCCCCATGTCTATGCTGGAATTTTGTCTGGTTTGAGATTCCATAAGACTTGTGGATGATGTTCATTCTTTTGCTAAGAAATTATTCTATCTGTTTGAATGAAGATCTTCTAATAGGAATTATGTTTTCTTTCTGTAACAACCGATGCCTCCTTCACATTCCCCAAGTCATTATTTTGGGTACTAGAGTAGATTTCAATGTATCCTAAAATACTTTAACATCTGAAAGACACCCCACATATTCATCCCATACACTAGTATTCTATTATACAGAGACTTTTGCACTATGAATATAATTTAATAGAATTCCCTAGACTTGTTTGGAGGGCCTTGTTTTATTGTGGCTCAATCTGTTATTAACACCTGTAATAATACATATATTCTTTTATATTTTTAAAATATTTTCTAATATAGACTATGAGAAAGAGTTTCATTTTTTTCTGTTTGAAAATCCTCGTCTATATTCTATTATGTGATGTTTTTAAAGTAACTGTCTTACATTAGTGCAAAAAACAATGTAATTATAATACTGTGACTGGCAAAAGGTGGAATACTAGTTATTCATTAATTTGGTCTTTCAGTGTATTAAATACCAGGACAAGAAAAGGTACAGAGATGACCTAAAGCTTTTCTGTTTCCTCCCTATCACCTCTAAGCTGAATCCTCATAGGAAAGACATTAGAAATAACAAGAAAAATAGACTAGAATGCGATTAATTATAGCATTTCAGTGAGATTCTTTAATAATGTTGCTTTAGGTGGAAATTAGTATCTACTGAGTGGTTTAAAAATATGTCTTTTCAGTTACCAGAATAGGTTAAAACAAGTCTTCAATTATTTTTTCATTTTTTACAGTTAATAATTCCTTTGCAAACTGAATAGTGTGTACATTTGCAGTGCTTGACCTTTTTTCTACATTTGATTTCTCTGTGATTTGAATTGAGGAAGAGATCTATGTTCAATAATTTTTAGAGAATTTCAATGTATCTGTAAAAGACGGTATTATGAGTTGGAAATCATATTGTCAAATTGGTCATTGTTTCAACATTTATTTATTTATTTGTGGCTTACTTTTGCTTGTGCCATGTAGCATATTCTTTTTAAATAAATATTTCCAGATTTGAATATCATTAAAAGAGGGTCTCCATTTTAAAAGGAATGGTTCTGATTTTAGGTATAACAGCTGCAGCAATGGCTGAGGCAATGAAACTCCAGAAGATGAAGCTTATGGCAATGAACACTCTTCAGGGAAATGGGACTGAATCAGAGCCTGATGACCTTAATTCTAACACAGGTGAGTATTGTCAGCAGTCTCCCCCACACCAAAGCAATGTTTGCTAATTTATTTAGCGTGGAGGAAAGAGGAACAAAATAGAAGACAGTATTACGTATGCTTTGATTATAAACACGTTGGAAAACTCTTAGGCCTGTTGATAATGTGTACACTAAAAGTAGAAAATAATTGCACATTATAATGTCAGAATTCCATTTTAGAAATATTTATCTGTTTTTGTTTGTGGTAAAGGGTTTCCCTATATATTGCCCAAGCTTTCCTCAAATCCACACAATTCTCCTTCCTTAATCTTCCAGGTGCTGGGCTTATAGTCTGGCACCATCCTGCAACCTCATTTCTGTTTTTTTTTGTGGTGGAATTCTAAATTTTAGAGTATTAACCCTTGCATGTCTGTCTACTAAACAGTGCCCCATTCCAGACTCAAGCTAGATTTCGTACTCCATTGTTCTCAAAATTGTTTCCCACTGGAAGGCATGACTCAGATTCCAGACTGATTGTGCCAATCACTTCATTTGATAAACCATCTGTTTATCGGTGTGAAGGTGCTGGTGAAGTACAGGCGTTATAGACTGAGCCCAAAAAATAAAAAATAAAAAGGCAAAGTGTCAGCCCACGAGTTAAGGAATTGACAAAGAAGGAAAGATGAGAGAGAGAGAGAGAGAGAGAGAGAGAGAGAGAGAGAGAAATGCCTGTGGAGTGATAGGTGTTTGTTTATTCTACTGTATGATAATTTTACCTTGTCCTTAATTACAAGGTAGTTTTCAGAGTTCTTTGGAAGTATATGCTTGAAACAATCATCAATGTGGATAGATTAACAGTTGAGGTTTAATTTTAGTGAGAAATATCAAGGGGGAAACAATCATGGTTTCCAGAGCTTTAGGTTTCCAAGCTAACTCTGGAATTAAACTAAACATAATGCAGTAAGTAGATTGCTATCTCTATTTCTAAGATCCATGAAGCTCAAGGATGGTGTAACTTTATTTAGGATGGAATTGGGAAACTGGCTTAATGAGGAAAATATTTAATCAAATCAATATATGTGAAATGACCCTGACTTTAATAACGTGTGGATCTCCTTATGTACACGTGCAAGGTTCATGGCGAATTACTGACTGATAAATTCTTGTCATATACCAGCCAGTGGTGTTTACTCTATATGTGATTGGTAGAATCTAAAAGGAAATCAATGAAGTGTGCATATTTTATGTATCTACAATTGTTAGGCTTCTAACTCAAGTGATTCTTGCTAAAATCCTGAGCCAAAAATGATATTTCTAATATTTCAATGTTGCAGACCAAGAGAGTGGTTTACTTTGCCAGTTGTCATAAAGCTATTAAATTTCTGCATAAAATTTGATCTCATATTTGTTAGGCCAATATGTTACCCCTTCAGCCTTTTAGGTACTCTTAAATTTTGTGTTTTAAAAAGTTTTTTACTTCATCTAATCTTTGAACAAGAATATTTAAATAAGGATACAGAGAGAACTATTAATTTCTGTGTCTGAATCTCAAATCGTACTCAGTATTAAACTCTAAAGTGTCTTATATGTGACCAATATCAAACAAAAAGCCCCTAGAAATTTAACATTGTTTTGAAGGAATATTTTGAAATAATAAAATTAGGTATTTATGCAATAACTTGCATCTTGTGTATTCCAGGTATACTATTATGTAAATAATTTCTATAGAACTTTTTTCCCTTTATAATATGATGTCACAGTTTGAATGGTATACTGGCATCCTTATTTCCAAGGCTAAATAGTTGTTTTTCTTCTTTGACTATAATCTTCTCTTAAAATACACATTGTGATGACAGAAAATGTCAGATTTCCCTCTATGTTTGATGCTATATGGGGTGCTATAGAAGTAGAATACCCTAGTCACTGTAATCGATCATACACAGCTTACAATATTATTGTCTGTCTTTAGATGTAATAAAGGAGATCCATTTGCATTATGAATTTTCTGAGGATTTTCATAGTTTTTATAGGTAAACTATGTGACATATTACAAAATAAGAAAGTATAATTTCAAGTGCTGATATTATGGTAATTAAATGTGATTTTTTTTCATAATCTGGGAAATTACTGTCTTTGATATCTTTGGTACCCCTAACTTAGGATTTATACTTAGATCAAAGACTGGGCTGGATTTCTCATTTTTCAATTTTATTTTACTTTGTGCCTTCCAAGAAAAGAAAGAGATGGTCTTGATAAGGAAGATCAGAGTGAAAAAATTTTACAGCCTAATTACTAGTTATGGACATGATCTTCCTGGATGTTCGTGTTTCAGACAGAACTGGAAAACTGAACTGAGTCTTGGAGAATAACAAGATTTTATTTATAAACATGGTGGGTATTGTATACTTTCAGGCAAATGGAAGTCAATTAGTCCATTAAGTAATAATATTCAGTGAAGTTGATTAAAAGCTATCATATGAGGAAAACACATTCAATTTTTGCATCATTTATATGGTGACATAGATATGAGGATTGGATAATGAGCTAATAGACACTTTATATCTTTTTACTTGTAATTCTAGTGGTATATTTGAAATAACAAGGAAATAATAGACATTTCATAAAGGACACATCAGTAGGCATATTTGTTACTTAATTCACTCCATGAGGTTAGAATATTTTTTATATTTACTTAGCATCCACAATGTACGATGTTTCACCAATGAAAGGGCAAAGTATGAGTGCTCTGAAGAGAGAAAATATTAATCCATGGCTTTGAAATGATTGTGGTCCAGGAGAGAAGATATAGAACACACTAGTATAGAAGTGACTATAACCTGAGGTAGACCGTTGAAAGAGAAATATGGTACTATGAAAAATAGAACAAAGAAGAAATTTCTCTTTGTGAAGACACCAGTACAAGAACTTGAGTGTAGGATGCAGCATTCGAATTGTTGCTTCAAAGATGTTAGAATGAAATTCACAATTGGGATGACGTTAAGAGATGAGTTTAAATTGTCTGTACTAAGTTAAATTTCAGTGAACAGTTGTTTGTTTCACAAAGCCCTTGGATCACATCTCTTTACTGGATAAGAATAATAGATATGGCATTAGAAAATGTATTTGTTCACTAGAAAGATATTTGTATTTCTTTGTTTACATTTGTTCGATACTTTTCAATTTTCTTTATGTTTTAAGACAGTGTTTTACCTGTAGCAAAGGCCATCTGGGAACTCACAGGTTAGCTCAGGGTGGCCTCAAAAATCAATCTTTCTGCTTCACCTTCCAAGTCCAGGAATTTGCAAGCACTTGCCACCTGGCAGTTCAGAAAAATTTAATTAATTCCATTTTCCGATTAATTCTAGAACACCTATTGTTTAAAATCATATTGACAGTAATTTCTAAAATTAATTTTGTGGCTTCTATGTGTCTTGAGATACCTAAATCTAGCTGTGACATCCTACAGATGATGTTTGTAGGATAAGACACTGGAGAGAGTTCTTAGCTTGGTCTGATCAAAATTCATTTTATAAGGTAGATATCATACATAGGATAGAAGATGTATTCTAGTGATATCTATTTTTACCATATCTCTGGTAGATTTCTTGTTACTGTGGCCCTTTAAAAACTATTTGTATTGATTCTTGAGAAATTCATACAATATATTTTGATCATATTAAGGCTTCCCCCATCACCATCCTCTACCTTACTCTCCCCCATTTCATGTCATCAATTATTATTTTTGATATTCTTATTGAATTAAAAATTTCATGCATGTGTTTTGATCATATTTGGATCCACCTAGCCATCCTCACCTTATTACCTATTTGAATCCAAGTCTTCTATTATTATTTGTAGTTTTTTAAGGCCTATTGAATCTTATCTGGGTTTGTCTAATTCTCTTGGGTATAAGTCTGTATCTTGGAGTCTGGTCAACCTACCAGGTATCACACCAGTAAGGGAAACTGACGCGGCCTCTCCCAGCATCCCTGAAATGCCCAAAGATTCTCAGCTAAGGCCAGGGCTTCCTATTGACCTCTACTATCCATCCCAGGCCCAGGTCCGACTTGGGTTTTCACATTTCTTGTGTACACTCTTATGCTGTGGGTTCATATGTGCAACTACCCTGTGGTGTGCAGACAACACAGTTTCCTTGTATTCATCTACAATCTCTGCCTCTTGCAATCTTTATGCTCCCTCTTCTGCAATGATCCTTGAACCGTGGGAGGAAAGCGTTGATATAGATGTCTCATTTATGTTTGAGCATTCCTCATTCTCTTATTCTCTGCACATTGACAAGTTATATGTCTTTGTGTTAATCTCCATCTGCTGCAAGAAGAACCTCTAATGAGAGGCGAGAGATGCACTAATCTGTGGGTATAACAATAAGCCATTCAGAGTCCATTTAATACTATGTTCATTTAGGAGTAGGTTCTCCCCTATGTCCCGTGACATATCTAGCCCCGGATTCTTTGTCCTGATATCAGTATCAGTTATGGACTCCAACTTATGAAATGGACCTTAAATCTTTTATATGGTATTTTTAAAACCCATAACATACATGTCATTATTTTACCAGTGGGCATATTTTGCCAAGACGTTTGTTATTAAATGTCAAAGGATGCTTAGCTAGGAAAGGTTGATGATTACCTTTTTTTCTGTCAGTAACATGCATTGTACCTCCTAATACTATGAAAGTTAGCCAGCAGAGATGCAGCTTCCAGGTCAGTACCAGCTTGATTTCTTCTTGTTTGCTCTGAGACTCAAGTTGGCAGTGTCTTCAGCAATAGGGTATATGAACATAACATGTTAAATGTGCCCAATTGCATCTGATCTCAGTGCCATGTCCAATTTTAAATATGGATTTAAGTATCATCTCCTCAATACTCAAACACAGAAAAATATATAGAAATGTAGTATTTTCCTAAAGGGAATGAGGTCAATACCTGTGAATTTTGCTCTTAATACAAAACCACTTAAGTAGTATCAGAGTCCATATTCTATGATCTAAGGAAATTTCCAAACCTTTTGATACATCCT